GCACGGGCGCACGGAGCCCCTCCGGGGGCCCAAGAGGGCCCCAGGAGGCAGCGAAGAAGACCCAGTAGCGCCCGTTGTTCGACCGGTCTGCCGCGGATTTGCCGCGGCGCTGGCTGCTGGGGCGCTTGAAGCTCTCTCAGGGACCCAAGAGAGCCGCGAGACAGCCCCAAGTCATGCCCAAGACGGCCTTCAAGGCCCAAAGGGCAAAGACGGCACAAGAAAGCCTTGGGGGGGCAGCCGAGAAGGCCCAAAACGGCGCGTTGTTCGAGCAGTTTGCCGTTGGTTTGCCGCGGTGCTGGGGCGCGTTAAGTTTTCTCCAGAGACGCCCGAATACAGCCCCAAGAGACGGCCAAGACGGCCCCAAGAGCGCTCCCAAACGGCCAAAAAGAGCTCCAGTAGTCCCCCAGAGGACGTCCAAGACGGCCTCCAAGTACCCCAGGCGGCCCAAGAGCGCCGCCAGTCGGCCCAAGAAAGCCCCAAGACGGCCCAAGAGGGTCCCCAGAGGCAGCCACTAAGGCTTAAGAGGAGGAGCCCATTGTTCGACGAGTTTGCCTTGGGTTTGCCCTGGTGCTGGGGCGCACGGAGCCCCTCCGGAGGCCCAAGAGGGCCCCAGAAAGCAGCGGAGAAGTCCCAGTATTTACATACGTAAACATGAGCTGTCGGACATCCGCGCAGATTTCTTGGATCAGTGCTGGACCCAACTCCCCAGCGCGCGGACGCGCTACGGGGATCGCCAGAGGAGGGTGAGGAGGAAAACATAAACATGGGCCGACCAGAACAACGTGTTGCGTCTTCGTTTCGTTGTCGTCCCGAAACGGAAGCCATACGTGGTATTCCCCAGAGAAGCGCTTTGCTGAAACTCTGGGGTTACGATGAGCATCCGATGGCCTCAGTAACGAAGAAACAGCGAAAACGGGACCGGAACGACAATTTCCCTCGAGGCTGAACTAAGCGGCATTTTGATCGATCCCTGGAGAGAGGAGGGATGAATCGGGTGTGGGGTCACGAAGCGGCACGAGGCACACGGATCCAAGTCCCTGTATCTCGAAAAGCCCCGTCGCCTGCCGCGCTGCCTCCCTGGCCTGGTCACGCACTCGACGTCAAGCCCTTGGCTCCCTGCTTCCCTCTCTCCCTCGTCGCCCCTATCCCTTCCCCGCTTCCCCTGCCCTCACGATCTCAGCTTGAATCGTTAGGTCCTGCAGTTTCGCCCTGGCACCGCTGCGGGGGGGCACGACGCGCCGAAGCTGAGAAGGGCTTGCCGTCGCTCGGACGTCCATTTCCAGCGCATGTTTCGGTTTCGTGCGTGTTTTTTGCTCGATGGTTCAGGATGGTCCTCGATGGCTCTCGCCGAGAAACAATGCACACGTCCGAGCGATGCCAAGCGAGAAGGGAGGACTCTGGCGGACTTGGGCCTGCGACCCAGCACGGGGTCACGACGCTCGAGTTCACGGTGTGCGGTCGGGGCATACCTTAGGTCGGGCCTGTCCCCCTACAGGGGGATTCTGGAAGAGAAATGCAAATATTCAAAAAATGCGCAAAAGATGCCCCAAAATACTTACAAAAAAATCCCCTGACTATTTTTGGCTATCTTTGAATGTTCCTCCTGTAGAGGGACATGCCCGAACTAAGGCTGACCTTCTGCTTCCGCGGGCGTCCGCCTGGCTTGCCCCGAGCTTCCCGAGTCGAAACCGCACTGCTGTGGTTTCCCTTTTTTGCCGGCTCCCGCCGAGGGGGGGAGAAGAAATAGGTAGAAACATGATGTAGGAAGGCGGTGGAAGTAGATTGGGCTTCCGCCCGCCTCCTGAAGAGGAGGGAAGAATGAAAACCACTGGACTCTTGAAGTCGGAAGGCGCTGAAAGTAGATTGGAATCTGGGGCTCTCAAAATACCTACGTACTTTCAACGACCGATGGGTAACTTAGCCAAGATTGGACGTGATTCCGAAGGGCACGACTACAACTTCACATATGCCCACGGGCGCCGTTGGCGCTTCGATCATTTGCATGCACCAGGTGTGGCACGCGGAAGCCGAACAGCACTGGTCAGCCGCTGCACCCAAAGGATGGGGAGGAGGAGGAGGGAGTTAGGTTGCGATTGGGCACCAAAATGAGGAGAGGAGGGCAGTTGGCCATCGGTCTGGCAAGAAAGGGGCGCGCCCGCCCTTCAGTTGAAAGGAGGCAGGGGGTGGGCAGTTATACTGCCCTCTTCTCGACTGTGTCCAAGTAAGCTGAACCTGCGGGGGTGGCCTTCCAACATTCAAACATCAAAAAGAAGGGGGAAGAGAGGGAACACTTGCCGGGTGCCGGGGAGGGGGGGGGGGGGGGGAAATGGCGGGGTGGAGGAGGAGGAGGGGGTTACCTTGCGTGTGCCCACTCCGTCAGGGCATCCTGGCTAAGCTCCCTTGTGAGCCTCTCTGTTTGTTCCACCTCCCCTCGTCTTACCTTCTGGCACTCTGTCACACCTTCTTGAATTGCACTTGATTGTCTCTGGGATTTGAATGTTTTCGCTTACGACGCTGCACGACGCTGCGAGCTGCGCTCAAAGATTGCCCAACGCATGGGGAAACCAAAAGGTACCGATACCGCTACTCCGCAGACCTCCCCCGGGGATCATGCTGGGAGGAAGGGGTTGGAGAGAATGAAGGCCACTAGCAATAGCCTTCGGATACAATGCACGATACCTTCGGCCGCCCACGGGTAATGATATTCTCGTTTCTCCCAGCCCCATCCTCCCAGCCCAAAATCTTGCGGATGCCATGACTATGGACACCCTGACAATCTGATCATTGAACTCAAAATGTGTTGCGCATGCTTGAAACATGTGCTTGAGATGTTGAAGCCATGCCGTTTACATATTTTTGTTCAGACATGCTTGAAACATTATCAGACATCTGGGAATGATTTGGCAACACACTCCCTCTCCACTGATCGCCTTCCGCAGCTCGAAATCCGTCATCCTGGCCCTCTGCACGTTGAGCAGGGACCGACCGTCCCGGCGTTCCTATAGTCCTACCACGGAGTGTTCTTAGAACCCAGAAATGTTCTAAGAACAAAAACAAGCTTCCTAGAATATAGGCCCGATGCGACAAGGACGGTCCCAGCCAGACATGTTCTCAGAGCATCTCTCGGGAACCACAGAAAGGGGTTCTTAGCACACTGCTCGGCAGGACTGTAGGCACGCCAGGACGCTTCGCCACTGCCTGAGCACGGCCACGGCCTCCTCCCCTCTTCCGGGGGGCCAGCCCCTCGGCAGGGAGAGGGGGGCGGCCGCGGGCAGGAGCCTGTTTTTTTTTAGACTCTGGCAAGTTTACTTGCATGGACGGGGGGGGGGGGCTGAGCCTGAAGCAAGCCGCAAACGACTTGCACGTTCGGGGGGGCGCGGAAATCACGCAAGTCGAAAGGCACTTGCACGCTAGTATTCGCTTGAAGAGGGGCGAGGGGGGGGGGGGGGGCGAACGCCATGCAAGTAAACTTGCCTGAATCCCAAAAAAAACAGGCTCGAACCTCCGTCTCGATTTGTTCGAGACGCGACGCCCGATATCTCTGGGACACGTGCCCCGTGGACCCCGGGGGCCAAAAACAGTGAAAAACCTCCCGCCGTGATTTTTTCTTCATCACTCGAGGGGGTCTGGGTCCCGGGGGGCCAGCCCCTCGGCAGGGAGGGGGGGGGGGGGGGGGCGGCCGCGGGCAGGCGGGCGGGCCCGGGCCATGCCGCCCGGAGGCGCGCCCCCCCGCGGCAGCGCCGCGGCGAGCCGACCGGGCGGCCCCGGGGGGCAGTCGCTCCGTCGAGGGGGGCGGCGTCTCGGGGTCCCCGGGGCACGTGTCCCCAGAGATCGGGCGTCGCGTCTCGAACAAATCGAGACGGAGGTCTTTCGTAGGAGGAGGAGGAGGAGGAGGAGGAGGAGAAGGAGGAGGAGGAGGAGGGAGGAGGAGGAGGAGGAGGAGGAGGAGGAGGAGGAGGAGGCGGAGGAGGAAGAGGAATAATCAGAAGATTAATAAGAACAAGTAATAATTTCGGCCTCTCGAGGCCCTCGCCGGGCCTCGGGACCGTCAACAAAACGACCCAGGGCGCCCCCATTGGCAGGTGGGCCCATCGAGCTCTCCGCCGCCTCTGGCGGCGTTGGGGTCTCTGCTGTGCTCCTGCGCGTTGGCAGTTGCCACGCGTGCGGAGCTGCACTGTCGATGCCGCGCTGTCCCGTGGCCCTGCTGTGCTCCTCCTCCATCCCCAGAGCCCCTCGGGCCGCGACAAAATCACGGCGGGGAGCCTTTCGCCAGTTCTTCCGCCTCCCGGGGGCCTTGGCCAGAAGCAAAACAAAAAACGGTCCAAGGGAATGGTTCCAGACCGCTGGGGGTCCACGCCATGAAAAAGGTATGGCGTCGTGGGTCTGTGTCCCAGGGTGAAGATCTGAGCCTTATCTCCACCCCTCGCATGTCGTAGAAAGCAGAAGCCACCCCATGATAGTTTGCACCCCGACAAACAAATGCGTTCAGCAAACGCACGCGAGGAGGGAAACGAACAGGGCAGGACCGTCCAGTACATGCCCAGGGCCGTTCAGTAAACGGCAACTACATGGGTCGGGGTGGTATGTCCTCCCTTGACATCAGCAGACACATGCGACAAAGCATCATGCATGCCTGTCGACGATCCGTGAGCTTCCTAAAATGCACTGGTGCTTCTGCGGGTCCCCACGGCCATCGGGGGCTCAGGGATTTCTTCCTGGACGTGCCTATTGCAAGGCCGCCACTAAGCGACCAAGAGGGCCTGGGAGGCCTCCGTGGAGGACACACGGGACAAGGGAAGGCACGGAAAAGGGGGGAGGGGGAGATGAGGGGGAGGGGGGAGGGGAAGCACGAGCAGAGAACATATCGAATGTGCAGACGTGGGCCCCTCGGAGCGAGGGGAACATTTTGAACACACCGCGTCCACTCGAAGGCAACTTTCCCAACTAGCGGAGTGGCGTGAGCCTCCTCTGCAATATGTTCGCTGACGGACCACCGCAACCTTTCTGGAGCAACGCGCTCATCTTGTCCCCGGTCCCCAGCAGAAATACAGGCAGGAGAGACGTCAACTGCCTACGGCGCAGCGGATACAGCCCTAGACTCGGATGAGGGGGCGGACGGCAAGCGGCAGGAGAGACGTCAACTGCCCACGGCGCAGCGGGATGCAGGCCCACACTCGGGGGAGGAGGATGGGGGGCATCAGGAAAGCGAGAAACCGCCCGCTCACTTCGCGCCGCGCACGTTGATCTCCTCCGCCTCGCGACGTCCAAGGGCACCCTGGGGGCAGCCATGCACGCATTGAATGACGCACGGGAAGTCGGCCGGCGCGCACGTCACGGTGAAGCACTTGTCCGCACAGGCCTTCGCGGTGATCTGCGAGAGGGCGAGCGCGAGGGGGAGCATCAGCAGCGCGAGGAGGGCGCTGCGGAGGGCCACCATCTGGAAGCGATCTGCGAAGTTATATACTAGTATATCTGCGAAGTGCTCGGGTTCGAGAAGGTGAGGGCCTGACTGCCCTGAGCCAAAATGCTGACAGGCACGGCAGCGTGCACGACGAGGATCACCCCGACAACGACGACTGCCCTTGCTCCAACAAGAAGTGAGCCATTCTCATCAAAAACGGGGCCGTAGAAAGGGACCGACGGTCGCCCAGAAGCCCGTCTCCCAGTAACTGGCCCCGAGGCACGCCAAAACGCCCCCCTATACTCCCAATGGAACGCCAATATGGGTAGCCATCCGAGCGCCCAAGAGAGCCCAAACAAAGTTCAAGCAGCGCGGTGAGGGCGCAACGCAAGACCACAATCTGGAAGCGTTTCAGGACGGATCTGCAAAGTATATGCTAGATCTGGGAAGTGTCCTGGTTACGGAAGAGGAGGGCCTGACCGCCCTGAGCCCAAGTGCTGACAGGAACAGTCGCGTGCATGACGAGGACCACCCCGACACCGACGCATGGTCTCGCTGCGAAAAAGGAAAATGGGCCAGCATCGTAGAGAACGAGGCCGCAGAAAATAACCGACGGTCGCCCACAAGCCCGTGTCCCACGAACTGGCCTCAAGGCACGCCCAAACGCCCCCGATATCCCCAGAGGGGCACAAGTCTGGCCCCAAGAGGCCCGTGTCCCCAGAGCGTCCAAGAGAGCCACAGCGAATCCCCAAGTCAGCAGCCATGGAGCCCCAAGGTGAGCGTTTTCTTATTCCGCGTTCCGACATTGGGCAGAAGGGGAGGGGGAGGGGGGGGGGTCTGGCTCCGGACCCCTGCTTAGTGCGGCTGTTTGGAACCGTGCCTCCTCTGGGGGAGACCCCACCTGCTCGAAACGGGCGCCAAAGACGGCCAAGATCCACTCCACGAGGGGGTGGGGGGGAGGGGGGATGCGAGAGCCCGCGCAGTCGACAAAACAATGAACAAGAAAACGATCGCAAGACAACCCCATACCCAGACCGCACCTCCGAACACTCTCCGATCGCGAGGCCTTCGGTCTGGCTTCCCCGTGGGGGCCGCTCTGCGGACTCGGCAACCCTTACAGATTCTGAAGGCTGACGACATTCTCCGGTGCTCCGTTCAAGCTGCGTCCAGAAGGAGCCCCAGAATACCTCTGCGGGCGTACGATACGGTAGGCCAGATAAAATCCGGAGGCATATTCATACAGCCCACAGGTGGCCCGAACGGTGCTCCAAAGTCGCCCCACGCTCGCACTGGAAAGTGCCACAAATGTCTTCAACGTTTCCCGGGGTCGTGCTGGCGCCGCTGCTTTTGTTTCCTACATCCTCCTCCACAGAACCAAACGACATTCTCCATTGCCCATTGTTCCGTTCCCTCTGCGTCCAGACGGGCCCCAAGAATACCTCTGCGGGCCTACGATGAGCCAAAAAGGATCACAACACATGTTCATACAGCCCAACGGTGGCACGAATGTTGTTCCAGGATCGCCCCACGCTCGCTCCGGTAGGTACCTGAAGATGTCACCCCTTTCCTCCACGACGTCTTCACATTGCCGGGGGTCATCCTGGCGCCTGTCTTCCTTGCCCGCTTCCTCCACAGAACCAACCGAGTAACCCAGACCAGCATCGCGAGTTCGGTCTCTCGGAGGTCGGCGGAGTGGCGTGAGCCTCCTCTAAAATATGATAGCTGACGGACCACCGCAGTCTTTCTGGAGCAACGCGCTCATCTTGTCCCCGGTCCCCAGCAGAAATAATGGCAGGAGAGACGTCAACTGCCTACGGCGCAGCGGATGCAGCCCTAGACTCGGATGAGGGGGCGGACGGCAAGCGGCAGGAGAGACGTCAACTGCCCACGGCGCAGCGGGATGCAGGCCTACACTCGGGGGAGGAGGATGGGGGAGATGAGGAGAGCGAGAAAACGCCCGCTCACTTCGCGCCGCGCACGTTGATCTCCTCCGCCTCGCGACGTCCAGGGGCACCCTGGGGGCAGCCATGCACGCATTGAATGACGCAAGGGAAGTCGGCCGGCGCGCACGTCACGGTGAAGCACTTGTCCGCACAGGCCTTCGCGGTGATCTGCGAGAGGGCGTGCGCGAGGGGGAGCATCAGCAGCGCGAGGAGGGCGCTGCGGAAGGCCACCATCTGGACGCGTGTCAAGATATATCTGCGAAGTATATACTAATAGATATGCGAAGTGTTCGGGTTAGGGAAAAGGAGGACCTGACTGCCCTGAGCCAAAATGCTGACAGCCACGGTCGCGTGCACGACGAGGACCACACCGACAACGACGACAGCCTTTCTGCGATAAGAAGTGGGCCAGGCTCGTTGAGAGCGGGGCCGCAAAAAAAGAGCCGACTGCTGCCCTCAAGCCAGTCTCCCAGGCTCAAAGGTACGCCCAAACGCCCCCCCATGCCACGGACGCCAATGTGGCCCCACGAGGCCCCACCATAATCCTCAGAGCACCCAAGACATCCCCAAGCCAGCAGCCCTGAAGCTCAAAGACGACCCCACATCCAGACCGTACCTCTAAACACTAGCCCAGTGCGAAACCTGCGTGCTGGTTCCTCCATGGGGGCCGCACTAGGGGCTCAACAAATCTTCAGGCATTTGCATGATATCGACATTCTCCATTGTTCCGTTCAAACTGTGTCCAAAGGCATCTAAGAATATCAGACCCCAAACCATATCCATATAGACCGCAGGTGGTGCGGATGATGTTGCGAGATCGTCCCAATCTCGACCTGGAAAGTATCTAAAATGTCTTCAATATTTTGTCTCCGACATTATCCCCTGTTCCGTTCAATCTGCGTCCAGACAGGACCCCAAAAAACCTCTGCGTGCCCACGGTAAGCCAAATACGATCACAAGACATATGCACACAGCCCAAATGTAGCACGAATGTTGTTCCGGGGTCGCCCCAAGCTCGCACTGGTAGGCACTTGAAGGTATCAACCCTTTCCTTCACGACGTCTTTCACATTGCCCGGAGTCGTCCTCGCGCCTGTTTTCCTTGCCCGTTTCCTCCACAGAACCAATCAAACAACCCAGACCAGCATCGCGAGTTCGGTCTCTCGGAGATCGGCAGAGTGGCGTGAGCCTCCTCTAAAACATGATAGCTGACGGACCACCGCAACCTTTCTGGAGCAACGCGCTCATCTTGTCCCCGGTCCCCAGCAGAAATAATGGCAGGAGAGACGTCAACTGCCTACGGCGCAGCGGATGCAGCACTAGACTCGGATGAGGGGGCGGACGGCAAGCGGCAGGAGAGACGTCAACTGCCCACGGCGCAGCGGGATGCAGGCCTACACTCGGGGGAGGAGGATGGGGGAGATGAGGAGAGCGAGGAAACGCCCGCTCACTTCGCGCCGCGCACGTTGATCTCCTCCGCCTCGCGACGTCCAGGGGCACCCTGGGGGCAGCCATGCACGCATTGAATGACGCAAGGGAAGTCGGCCGGCGCGCACGTCACGGTGAAGCACTTGTCCGCACAGGCCTTCGCGGTGATCTGCGAGAGGGCGTACGCGAGGGGGAGCATCAGCAGCGCGAGGAGGACGCTGCGGAAGGCCACCATCTGGACGCGTTTCAAGATATATCTGCGAAGTATATACTAATAGATATGCGAAGTGTTCGGGTTAGGGAAGAGGAGGACCTGACTGCCCTGAGCCAAAATGCTGACAGCCACGGTCGCGTGCACGACGAGGACCACCCCGACAACGACGACCAGCCTTTCTGCGATAAGAAGTGGGCCAGGCTCGTTGAGAGCGGGGCCGCAAAAAAAGAGCCGACTGTTGCCCTCAAGCCAGTCTCCCAGGCTCAAAGGTACGCCCAAACGCCCCCCCATGCCACGGACGCCAATGTGGCCCCACGAGGCCCCACCATAATCCTCAGAGCACCCAAGACATCCCCAAGCCAGCAGCCCTGAAGCTCAAAGACGACCCCACATCCAGACCGTACCTCTAAACACTAGCCCAGTGCGAAACCTGCGTGCTGGTTCCTCCATGGGGGCCGCACTAGGGGCTCAACAAATCTTCAGGCGTTTGCATGATATCGACATTCTCCATTGTTCCGTTCAAACTGTGTCCAAAGGCATCTAAGAATATCAGACCCCAAACCATATCCATATAGACCGCAGGTGGTGCGGGTGATGTTGCGAGATCGTCCCAAGCTCGAACTGGAAAGTATCTCAAATGTCTTCAATGTTTTGTCTCCGACATTATCCCCTGTTCCCGTCAATCTGCGTCCAGACAGGACCCAAGAATACCTCTGCGTGCCCACGGTAAGCCAAATACGATCACAAGACATATTCACACAGCCCAAATGTGGCACGAATGTTGTTCCGGGGTCGCCCCAAGCTCGCACTGGTAGGCACTTGAAGATGTCAACCCTTTCCTTCACGACGTCTTTCACATTGCCCGGAGTCGTCCTCGCGCCTGTTTCCTTGCCCGTTTCCTCCACAGAACCAATCAAACAACCCAGACCAGCATCGCGAGTTCGGTCTCTCGGAGATCGGCAGAGTGGCGTGAGCCTCCTCTAAAATGAGATAGCTGACGGACCACCGCAACCTTTCTGGAGCAACGCGCTCATCTCGTCCCCGGTCCCCAGCAGAAATAATGGCAGGAGAGACGTCAACTGCCTACGGCGCAGCGGATGAAGCCCTAGACTCGGATGAGGGGGCGGACGGCAAGCGGCAGGAGAGACGTCAACTGCCCACGGCGCAGCGGGATGCAGGCCTACACTCGGGGGAGGAGGATGGGGGAGATGAGGAGAGCGAGGAAACGCCCGCTCACTTCGCGCCGCGCACGTTGATCTCCTCCGCCTCGCGACGTCCAGGGGCACCCTGGGGGCAGCCATGCACGCATTGAATGACGCAAGGGAAGTCGGCCGGCGCGCACGTCACGGTGAAGCACTTGTCCGCACAGGCCTTCGCGGTGATCTGCGAGAGGGCGTACGCGAGGGGGAGCATCAGCAGCGCGAGGAGGACGCTGCGGAAGGCCACCATCTGGACGCGTTTCAAGATATATCTGCGAAGTATATACTAATAGATATGCGAAGTGTTCGGGTTAGGGAAAAGGAGGACCTGACTGCCCTGAGCCAAAATGCTGACAGCCACGGTCGCGTGCACGACGAGGACCACACCGACAACGACGACAGCCTTTCTGCGATAAGAAGTGGGCCAGGCTCGTTGAGAGCGGGGCCGCAAAAAAAGAGCCGACTGCTGCCCTCAAGCCAGTCTCCCAGGCTCAAAGGCACGCCCAAACGCTGGATATCCTGGATACGCTAAGGAGTGGGCCAGGCGGCCGGTCTGAAGAGGTGGGTGGAAACTGGGAAGGCGCAGATGGGGCTGCCGCCCGCCCCCTGAGGAGGAGGGAAGAGGACACACCACTCCACTCTTGAAGCAAGAAGGCGCCTGAAGCAATCAGATTGGGACTTGGCCATCCAGAAGCACGTACTTTGAAGTCGGGCGTGTCCCCCTACAGGGGGATTCTGGACGAAACGTGCAACAAATAGCAACAAAAGACCCCCAGATGGTCAAAAATACTAAGAGACATCGTCCCCAGATCATTTTGTTGGACTATCTTTGAACATCCCTCATGGAGAGGGACAGGCCCGACCTGGACGTCCTTGCCAGGGCCCACGGGCCGCCGAACCCCACCCCACCGCGCTGCGGCCGCGAGGGCCGCCGGCGGGCCTCGCCTGAAGGTGCCCTCCACGACCTCGCGCAGCGTGGGCTCGGAGCAGCCGGCAGCGACCAGGACGCCCGCCGAGGCCGGGTCCGCGGGCGGCCCAGCCTCCTCTGGAGCGCGCTCTGGCACGTTTCGCGACAGGGGCCGTTGCCTGCCCAGGCCGCCCCCTGCTCCTCCTCCTCCTCCTCCTCCTCCTCCGCCTCCTCCTCCTCCTCCTCCTCCTCCTCGGGGGCGACTCTCTGTGTCGCGACAGCGGCCGCCTGCCAGCTCCGGCCGCCCCCCTCCCCTCCCCCCAAGGGTGAAGTCACGACTCGTGCTGACATACGCGCAAACTCCGGTTATCCCTAGACCTTCCCAGACGGCGCCCGCGCGAAATGTGACGTTACCGGCCTCCCGCCCCCTCCGCAGAGGTCAGAGGATATATTTTTTCGCAATCCGATGGTTTTTCCTTGTTTTCGGCCTCCGGGGCCCGTCACCGGGACTGGGGACTATAAAAATGGCCCCGCGACGGAAAATCACCCCGGGGAGGGGGTCGGGACCTCTGGGGCCACGGATTGAAAAAATCATATCCGCGGATGTCTGGGCACTGGCTCTGGTTATCCCTAGACATTCCCACACGGCGCCCGCGCGAAACGTGACGTTACTGGCCCCCCGTCCCCATCCGCTGCGCCCTCCCACCGGTAGCACCAGTCACTGCCCGGGAATAAAAAAACGCTCCCCCGTTAGTTGGGGGGGGAGGCCATCAAGGAGCGTCCTCGTCGATCTTGGATGCAGGGCTGGGCCGTGTTGGACAACTTGGCGGCCAGCTGTGTGTTGATTTTGGGGTCGCTGCGATCGTTTCCGAGTGGCCCGCGGGCCGCGCCGAAGGCCGCGGGGGACCGGGTGGACTGGCAAGTGGCGCGCCAGGCAGCCCAGCAGGCACGCTACGGGGACGGCCGATCTTGTGTGAGGCTGGGCATGTTCTTCTGCAGACGGACTTCCGACGAAAGATCAAAACATAGTCAAGACAGTGTCATATATACATATATACACATATATATAAAACCATATGTATATATATATATATATATATATATATATCAACATATGTATATTCATCTCTTGCTATTCATCGTATTAGTAATCATATCATTAGTAGTATCATTACTAGCATTATTCGTATCTATCTACATCTCATCGTCCCCAGACTATGTTTCCACTAGCTTTGGGCATTCCTCCTGCAGAGGGGCACGCACGCCCGCCTTCCATCCGGTGGCGCGTCGGCTGTGGCCGCCTCGGCCCGCGGAGGCCCCGCCGCTCCTCGGCCCCCTCCGTCTGCGGCCCCCGCCCGTCGTCCCCTCGCCGGCCCGCTCCGTCCCTCCTCCCTTGCGGGCAGGCTCCAGGGCGTCGCCTCTGGGCGGCGGCAGCACGAGGGGGCGGCGAGGAGGCTCCCAGAGGAGGCTCCCAAAGGAGGAGGAGGAGGAGGAGGAGGAGGAGGAGGAGGAGGCTCCTGGAGGAGGAGGCTCCCGGAGGAGGAGGAGGAGGAGGAGGAGGAGAAGAAGGAGGACGAGGAGGAGGAGGAGGAGGAGGGGGAGAAGGAGGGGGGGGGAGGCCTCGGGGGTTCGAGGCTCGAGGCTTTCGGGCGTCTTCGCCTCTTCGTCGCGCCACCAGACGTGTCAGTACAGTGGAAGCCAGTCCACAGGAACCCTTTCCAGAAGAGACCAAAGCCCGAGACCCCAGGACGTCCTCAGACTCTTTTGGTGCGGGTACGTCGCGCCCTCCATCGCAGAGCAAAAACCATCGGAGCCCAAGAAGCCCAGGGCACCCTGGAGGCACGCAGGGTGCTGCTTGGCACTGGGCCTCCGCTGTACTATCCTTGTGGACGACCAAGCTCCTCCTCGTCGCGACACCAGACGTGTCGGTGGGGCGGGCCGGGCGCTTCGCCCCGGGCCTCCCCCCCCACCCCTATCTGGACCTGGAGCCTGCGGGGTCCAACCGCTGGAGGGCGGGGCGTCATCTTCACCATGTGGTTCTCGCCGCATCTCCACGTAGGTTGCTCGTGGGGCCGTCCAACGCGTCCCAATGATGGAGGGCGGGTCGTTTCCAAAACGAGGCGTTCGACCCAGCGCCGTGCACATTACACTTCACAGCAAGGGTGAACAATGGAGGGCGGCCCGTTGTTTTTAATGTGGATCTCGTCGTGCCGCCGCGTACCTTGGCCTCAATATTGTCCCAGAGCGCCAATGTTTGGGGGGCGGATCGTTTCCCAAATCGGCCTATCGCTTAAGGGCCGAGCGCATTCGACTGCAACGAAAGCAGCTACAGTCGGGCTGCTGAAATAAGGAACGCTGAATCAGGAACGAAGCCCCTCTGTGGCTTCAAAAAAGCCTGGGTGCACGAGAAGGGCTAGAGGAACAACCACGGAAGGACGTAAGGAGCATCGAACCCCTTCCGAATCCAAACTGTTCCTTATTTCAGCGTCTTGGCTGTACAAGGGTGAATGATGGCGGGTAGCCCCTCTTCAACATATCCCGCCGTTGCGCGGCACACATTCACCTGCAACACTTCGAAAACCGACAAGGATGGGAGGCGCACGGCTTCCCAAAGGCGTCTCTCGCCCAAGCGCCGCACACATTCGTCTTCGAAGTCTCTAGCAGCTGAAAGAATCGAGGTACGTTCCTGGTTAGATCGCGTCTCTAGGCTGAGATGCTCTCTTCAGTTATGGGCCGTGATGCGAAATGGTACACATGAAACATACCTCCTGTTCGATAAACATGCTGCTCTCGCTTAGGCTTCCTACAACCGAATACCCCTCATCATCACACCCGGGGGATAATCAATGTCTCGTCCCGGGAACTCGTATGAACGGAGGTCGGAATGGGATGCTCTATCGGGGGACCTCGAAACTCGCATTTTAGGATGCGCATGTCGTGACTTGGGAGAGCTGCAATGCTTAGACTGCGATGGGCCTGCCACTCGTCCGTGACTTGGGAAAGCAGAGATGATGAGAATCCCATGGCCCTGCCACGCGTGCGTGTTGTGGGAAAACTGGAACGGTGAGCAGTCCATAGCCCTTCCACACGATCGTGCTTTCGGATAGCCCAAGCGGTGAGAACCCCACATCCTTGCAACACGCTCGTGGTAGTGTTGCTGTTCAACCTGAAAAGATAGCATCTTCGGTTCGTACCTTCCCAGGCGATGATGAAGTTCGGCCTCGCCGTCCCGTTCCCCCGAGGAACTCTCCTGGCCCAGAAGAATCAACCCTCAGGTTGTCAAGGGGGCGCTCGGGTAACGTTAGGGCCCATGCGCAAACGTCGGTAACATTTGTACGGACGGAGGTGCACAGACTGCTTGAAAGAATGCTTGCAGGTTTTACGAAGTGAGAACTTGGAGCTGGGGACTGGAAGGGTGTATTGCAGCATTGTTGATGCATCTTGGGGTTGCGCGGACCCGGGGCTCGCACCAATTGTGTACGCGGGTCCTCTTCCACATCGTCCCAGGCCCCTCCTTCTCGAACCCCTTGTCCTGCCCCTCCTCCTCCTGCTCCCCTCCCTCCTCCACCTTCTTCCATTCAGACGCAATCCCGGGACACAGGCTTGGGGGACCCACTCAACGAGCGCTTGCCATTACAATCCCCCCACCCTCGCTATGCGAATGAATTCTTCTCAACGGGACCAATCAACCACCTTGCAAGGCCGTGCAACCCCAAAGATGCTATGATACTCTACCCCCTAATCCATTAAACCTCCTCCTGGTATTCCTCATCCCCCTCCGCCTCGTCCGTCCTCCTCCTCCCCCTGTCCTGAGACCTCCACCTGCTCCTTCTGAAACTTCTGCGCGAAAGGTCAAAGGCATCGATCGACATGTCGTGGGATGTGTTGGCTTGTCCCTGGGCGTCTACGAACGTCTTTGTTGTATCCAGGTCGGCTTGCGTATTGAGACCTCAGGCCGTTTCAGACCTTCCATACAACTAGGTCCCAAGAGTCCGCCCCGCCCGCTGTCTTGTCCTTGCTCGACACTACGTGTCCGCACGGCTTCCTGGTTGAACCATGGTTCCGTGGCAACGAATGAGTTGCGCACGGGTCCCTGGCGAATGTGAACAGGGGAGATGGGAGTGCAATAGGGTAGTGTTCAGCAAAGCAGGACACAGCAGACTAAAGCAGAGCTGAACGAATTCCAGTGCAGCGCAGGGCACAGTAGAATAGCCTGCGCTCCAAACCCCCAACCCACATGTCGGTCTCGTCATCTTGTGCACTCCATTTTTAGTATCCGCCACCGTGGTTCAACTAAGGGATTAGGCCAAAGACCTGAGGACACTGCTGTCTGTCTGTGGCCAGGCTTGGCCGCGGCGGCCTTTCTCGGCTTAATTATTCAAGTAATTAATTCAGGGCTACGCGGCACTGGCGCGCCGGCAGAGGCAAGGCCACCAGCACGCCGACCTCCTTGCAACCTCTAACCAGAGGACGCTCCAGCTAGTGCCTCAAGGCATGCCGGCGGGTAATGATTCTGTGTTCGGAAAAAAGAAGACCTCTGCGAACCTGTCCACTCTGACTTATCGACACCCCCTGGATCACTACAAACTACATATGGTTATGTTCATCGTTCATGCGCCACATCACTCCATAAAATTCCAGGCAGGCCCGTATTGTCCCCCTGTCATCCCTACCAAGTCATACATTGCGCGAGGACTCGTTCATCGCAAGAGATCATATTACAAGAACCCCTTGCTACAGATGGCACAACGTCCACACGCGCGCACATGCCAAACTCATGCACAACACACCATACCTGCCGGCATTCCAACGTAGCGACATGCGAAACGGTGTGTTGTTCATAGCACAGTTTGCAGATGTTCTGCCCGCGCGCCATTCCTGAAACCATACGGTAGCCACAAAGTGTTGGCAATATTTTTTATTATCCGCATTTCCAATGACCACATGATGCAACCGCGTTGATCCAGTCTGCGCCCAGCTCACGAGTCCGTCGCGAATAATGCCATTCGGGCCACACTCGCGCGTCGCCACGAGCTCGTGTATCTTACCTCCTCCCAAATCCTCGGTTTTCGAAACATTCCAAAATATAAATCTAGGAACACATGCGAAACGCCAGGTGTGTTCTAGCCAGAACTC